CCCCAAAACCCCAAAACCCCATGGATAACAATTAATATAAATAATAGAGTAATTCAAGTTTAAATCAAGATATTAATTATAATTTGCTAGTTAAAAAATAAGCATAAATATAGCACCTTTAGTCAGAATAGATTACCTCAATTATGAAAGATCTGCTTGACTTAGAACAATAAGATAGCATAAAGCCATTAAAATATAACAAATGAGATAAAATGTTCAATGACTCTTAATCTAACGACAAACCACCAAGAATATTTTACTTCTAAGGAGCTGAGTTCTACTTTAACACGTTGACTGGAAACCTCAAGCAGTATATGAATTACAGATGCAGAGATTACAACTGCAACGGCTCTTTAAAATTTCATATCTCAAAGGATATTAACCTGAACCCCAAGATACTAAGAACACATACTGCTTCTTGCAAAGAACTCAAAAAATAAATGCCGAAGAATAGCATTAGTGAGTAATTAAATTATCATTAAAAAGTACATGAAGAAGTCCTGATGAGCTCGACTAGCTTAGAAAATGAACTATCTATATACGAAAGATTACTACAATAGGCTAAGTAGCTCTCTTATATTCAAGGAGTGCATATATATCCTCCTGATAAGGATTAATTAATTAGCAAGATTAGATAGATGCGAAGAAATTAGATGGCTAAGTTTAATGAATAGCTCTATAAAACTTAAAATTTAAATTCACAATTTTTGGATATTAGTTAATGGATTGTTTTTAAAATGAGCTTTGATGATTTTAAGACTACAGGAGAGGTATGTTTTGTGAGAGATTTATAAATTATTGAAGTTATTAAGAATCTTGAAAATGAAATAATATTGTAAACTATTTAGATAGATGGATATTAGTTGATAGTTGGATTCATAAAATAGTCCAGCTCCAATAAATATAAGCCTAAAAATATTAAAATATTAACTGAGTAAGACACTTCAGCAGTAGAAGTAAAAGTCTAACACAAGTCAAAAAGTATAAATAATAAAAGAATCATGAGCAAGAATTTAAAGTCATAAAGGAGTAGCAAGGATCTAATCATAGAGAGGAAAATCCTCAAGATAAAGTAAGAGTTTGCAAATATTACAAATTCCAAGCCAAACTCTCTTTCTATTTTCTAAATGATTGAAAATTTTATTAACTGTGGCAAAGCTGCAAATATATTGACATCTAATAGCTATTAATTTGAAAATGAAGAAATAATATTTAAGTGATTTAGTATTCTTTATAATGATTTGATTTGAGATCTTGGGGTTTTGGGGTTTTGGGGTTTTGGGG